CCCCCCCCCCCCCCCCCCCCCCCAGTCAAGGGCGTCCCTCTTTTCCAATCTGAAAATCTGGTCACCTTATTCTATGACTGCCTTAGTCCAAATATTGCAAAATATTTGGTCATTTTGAATAGTGTAACTTTCAGTTCATGGATGTTCATTCGCTGAAATTGCAAAACCAAGTCAATTTGGATTCAGGTGAGAACTAAACACGTTTCTCACCTCATCACTAGTCGGTACAGCAGAGAAGATTCATCTTTTCCTCAACTTGACTTTGCCTCCAAGTGCTACAGAGCCCAGATAGACAGAAGAAGAAGAAGCTCAGAGACAAATTTAAAGGTTTTTCTCCTCTTCTTCCCTGACTTCTCTCTCTGGATGGCTCATATCCATCCTCCCACTAGATTGGCAAAAGACTGAATACTGCAGTAGCAAAGGGTAGCTGACACACTCCTTCTCACAATAAGGAAGGTAAGATAAGCAATTTTGCAGGAGCCAAAAATTACCCCGCATGAAACCCCTACTTCTTTCTCATGTTCTTCAGCCTCTTTGATTGAAGGCTGTGAAGACTGAACTAACTAATCCCATTCCCCATCATTTACCAGGTCAAGGAGGTGGCTGTCATCCAGTGGAATATGACAAATAGGCACAAGCAGCAATCTCTTCCTCTCACTGGGGCAATAATCCTTGCCTCCTTGCAAAAATATACAGAGAGCATCATCACAAGAATAAACTTGACTACTTTCCTTTTTGTTTGTCAAATTCAAATTATACTTTGATTTCTCTTCTGCAGCTCATAGTACTATAGATAGGCTCCATCTCTATGTTATCCTTGCAAGAACAACTCTTAGAGGTGGTCATAATAATATTTGTAGGTATTTTTATTTAATATGTGCTTTTGTCTACATAAGGTAAAGGTTCCCCTCATCATACATGCTAGTCGTTCCCGACTCTAAGGGGCAGTGCTCAACTCCATTTCAAAGCCGAAGAGACAGTGCTGTCTGAAGATGTCTCTGTGGTCATGTGGCCGGCATGACTAAACACCTAAGGTGCACGGAATGCTGTTACCTTCCCACCAAAAGTGCCTATTTTTCTACTTGCATTTTTACATGTTTTTGAACTGCTAGGTTGGCAGAAGCTGGGACAAGTAATTGGAGCTCACTCCGTTACACGGTGTTAGGGAGTCGAGCTGCCAAATTGCCGACCTTTCTGATCAACATTCTCTACATAAGAATAGGTAAATGAAAAAGTAGTACAATATAAATCAGTATCAGCAATTAAACAATATAGTAGTCAATGTATTTCCTAATACAGGATATTGTTTGATTTACTAAGTCATTTACTAATACCAGAATAATCATAATATAAATCTGTAGCAACTAAGGACAAAGAAAGTAGGATGGACAAAAAGAAAGTAACCAATCCCAAATCACCCAGTATCAGCCCTACAAGGTGGGACCAGGCTAAGAAATCAATGCCATATTGGATTATATTTATTGTAGCAACTATAGTATTAGGATCTTGAATGAGCTCTTCCTCTCACATTAGCATTGTTTGTACTGGGGGGTGAGCTTGCCTGAGACCTTTTCTCAAGTTATTTTGGTTTTGACCCCAGTTTATCTGACTGGAATCAATTTGTCCTTCAAGGCTGTTTTCTATATCTTTTACAACCAATCAGAGGTGGGTTGCTATTGGTTAGCACCTGTTCAGGGGAACCGGTAGTGGAAATTGCAATTGGGTTGCCGAACCAGTAGGGATGGCAGGCTTGCCACAGCCCCAAACAGGTTTCCCAGTGGCCGCAACATGGTTTTTTGACATTTTGAATGTTCTGAGCATGCGCAGACCTATTTACAGTCAACTGCACATGCGCGTGGAGAGCAAATCACGTGTGCACCGAACCGGCAGTAATGCCGGCAGGAACACACCCCTGCAATCAATAAACAACAATGACTACATGGACACTTGAATTTGGATCTCCATGATGCTACTCCAGCACACTAACCACTATACCCTAATTCTTTCTTTGATTGGCTCTGTAAAGACCAAGCTAGCTAATCCATGCTTCCTGGATCATCCCCTGAAACTGGCAGAATTCAAAAAACAAGCTTCTGATCCAAGAACTCAGGTTTCCTAATGGATACATTTTCTTCTCCAATTTCTGTGCAGGATAGGAGAAAGGATGAAAGCCGAGGTGGCGCAGTGGTTAGGGTGCAGTACTGCAGGCCACTTCAGCTGACTGTTATCTGCAGTTCAGCAGTTCTAATCTCACCGGCTCAAGGTTGACTCAGCCTTCCATCCTTCCGAGGTGAGTGAAATGAGGACCCAGACTGTGGGGGCGATATGCTGACTCTGTAAACCGCTTAGAGAGGGCGGAAAGCCCTATGAAGCAGTACATAAGTCTAACTGCTGTTGCTATTGCTATGAAAGATTGTTTTGTTCTGGTTTATTTCTTCTCCTTACCAAGGAGTTGCTTCACTTTCCAAATAAACATGCAACCAAGGCCCCTTATTCAGAGACATGTTTGCATCTTCAGAACATTTATAATTAAGCCTTCTTTTCTGAAAAAGAGAATTTTTTGAGGCAAATTAGGCTCTTTATTCACTGGGATGGCCATATGTAATATGCTAATTCAAAGGCTCTGACTTTGTTTTTATTTATTTAAAAAAAAATTCTTATTCATCCCCCCCCCTTTTTTTTCCCCAGCCACCAAGGAAAATAATAGCTGTGGCATAAGATAAAAGTATAGAAAAAAATCAATGGGAGATTTCAGATCAATTGTTAGGGAATAAGGTATTGTTTCTTAAGCATTCAAACTCCTGTGTGGAATTTGATATTTATTTGTTGGAATCTGTTCCTACTGGAATAAAGAATGCTAGGTCATATTAATAACAAATGACATGTGGAAGTTCTTCCTGCCCACGTTGGCCCAATTTTAAGCATCGGAGAAATTAAGGTTGGCTTGCCCTGGCAGAGATGCAGCAAAAGATAGTGCTGCATTTGGAATGTATCATCTCTATTCTCTTGCTTGCCTCAAAAGAGTGGAAAGAGGGGTCGGAAACTGTCATTGCTCTAAGGAATTGGATTGGTGGAGAAGCTTTGCTGCTGGAAGATTGACAGATAGTTTAATGCTAAATGGGAAGTCCTTGATATCATTTTAAAAAAATGACATAGGTGTGATGTGATGGACTAAAACAGCGGCCGGCAACCTTAAACACTCTGTAGGAAGTTATCACCTAGCCCTCTCCCAGAAAAATGAAATATCCTAGGAAATATTGAAAAGGCAGAATATTTTTCTGGATGTGAAAAGTAAGAAACATGTTTTAAAAGACAGAATAGCTGCCTGCAGCTTCCTGCCCATCCCCCTTTGTCAATGAGCCATTAAAGCCTGATCTAGTCCACTTTACATAATAAAGAGTTCTCCCCTTCAGCTCGAGTGACGGGATTAAGGCATGATAATATTGGCCCCAACTGACCACATGGCAGCTGAGAACTCAACCAAACCTGGATTCAAAATGCAGCCTAGAGATTATCCCTGCATGGCCCCATG